TCTCTATCTCTCCCTCCCTCTCTCTATCTCTCTCCTCTCTCATCCCTGGGGCGGTGCTACTGACTTGAAGTGTCTTTATGTCATTCCCAAAGGGGGATATTAACTATGTTCTTATGCGCAGTAGAATTGTAAATAGGCTTATTCATCAATGTTATGCTCATAATTGTGCCTGAACTGCGACAGGGAACTGCTGCTTTTTCTTTCCTTTTCCTTACTATTACTATCGTCATTTTCCTGTACTCCTTTTTTATGTTTGTCACACTCTTGTTGCTCAGTATTTCCGGGGTGCCTTGATAGTCGAAGCAGACTTTGTGCTGTTGAAGCTAGAGGGGTGAGCAGAGTAAGCCTGATTCCCTGTAAGGACTTTTCTGTTGACATCCACCTCTTGAAGCTCGTATGTATAACCTTATTTAGTTATGAGCGCTGTAAAACCTCTACTAAAACAATCTCTCCTCTCTCTTTTTTTCTCTCTCTCTCTGTCTCTCTCTCTTTCTCTCTGTCTCTTGTCTCTCTAACACACACTCTCGTTTCTATGTGTTTAATTTTATACAGCATAGAACTTTGCAGCGAGCTGTGCTGTGGACAACTGTCAATTATCAAATTAATTCTTTGCCAACACATTAAAGTTTCATTTCAAATACACCCGATCAACCTGCGGCAAAAGGGTCATGTCTGTATGCTCATCCCTCCCCCTTTCCTCCCTTTAATTAGCACTGAGACACTTAGACCCTTAGACTAGAATAAAGCAATACCACCTACCAATACCTGCTTTAATGTACTTGGTCATTTTCGTGTCTATCAGATTCAACACCAGACGAGCTGGCTGTACTCTGCGGTTTGGGCACATGATATGGGTACTCGACCGGCTCAACAGGACCTCAGTCTCAGCAGTTGGACTTTGTTTGGACTCAGCCACGCTGAATGACCTCAAGGGCGTGCAAAGAGGAGGAAGCTTGGTGATGTCAGACGCCTCATGTTAGTGGTCAATGTGGGCATTGGACCAGGCAGGATTTTCCTGTCAAACCACCAACGCTCTGGGATCCACTGAGCTGTTGCTGTGGTGGACATATAGAAGCGGGAGGCTCCAAAGCTGCTGTACTGCGACAGCCTGGGATAGGATCTGCCAGAAGTTCTCATGACAGAGATAAACCCCTCCCTATCTTCACTTCCTTGGGTGTGGGGCCCTACAGCCAACTAATCTGTTGTTGGCTCACCACCCATGCAACGGCAGGCATGTATGCTCCGTCATGTGCCTGAACTATTCGCTTCAAACGTGTGGGAATGTGTGTGGTGTTGTTGCCATCATCACTGCTGTCATTGCTGGCAGCAGTGAAGAATTGTACTAGCTGCTGACAGGCCCCCAGTCTTTGACTTTGAAACTTACCTGCACTGTCCAACACAGTACGCTCGTTATTTAAGGCGTGTACTTTTTTGCTGGCACGCTATGGAGGAGGTCAACATTGCTACCGACATCTCAGGTCCCTGACTGAGCACATCAGCAGCAAGGTTGGAAACGAAAGGCAGTACCACCAACATGGCTTCCTAGTCATAAGCGAGCACCTCCAGCGGTCAGCAGCAGACACAATTGGGCTCCAGCCAGCAGATGCCAACAGGAACCGACAAGATGAGAGGGATAAACAAGACATTGACGACAGGAACGGACAAGACAACAGATAGGCCTACGGACAATACAAGCACAACAAGGACTGAAGAGACAACAGGGACAGACAAGACGAAAACAACAGGGACGGACAAGACCAAGATAGCTGAAACAGGTCAGAAAGGAACTGTCAAGCAGGCCCCATGTCCTTACTCATTCTAAGCTGACGCTCTTCCCTCCAAAGACACATCAAGGTTTTCCACAATGGTATTGACTTACCATATGAAAACACTCACTGGCATTATCAAGAATGCCTCTTTTCTTCCGATTCTGTAAGGGGCTTGATCAAGCACATAGCAAAAATTTGACCATTCATTCAAAAAAAATTTCAATCTTATCCTGAATTTGAAGTCTGGCTTTCAGAAACTGAGAAAATAACTTTCACTCATTCTGTGAAGCAACGAGGGACCGCAAAGAAAAAGATTGATTTTGTGACTGAATTTTATTACTGTAATCGTTCCAAGTTAAATTCCAATTGGAAACAGATAGGCGGATTCGTTGTTTCAAGCTTCAAGGATCTTTTAAACTGGAGGGAAAATGCACCTGTCATTTGACAGTAGTCCGTAAACACGTGGTCACTGGAGAAGTGACTGTAGTATATTGTTTAGACCATACTGGCCATGGCAAAGACTTGTGCCATCTAAAATTATCAGCTGGCCTGCGCTGCTACATTGCTGCCAAGCTAGCTGCTGGAGTTACTGAGGTCAAAATCCTTAGCGATATTAGAGAAGGGGTGGATTCAATCGACAGGGATCATTGTAGTTGCTCGGAAAGATACACAGAACATTAAACACGAGTTTAAGATTTTCCATGCACGCAAGGATTCAAATGTTGCTTGCAGTGTCCGTCTGTGAGATGAAGAACTTTAAAAAAAGGGGGATTATCCAATTATTTATTTAAAGCTTCCAGGGGAAAAAGATGAAGTTAATAATTCAGGTAAAGATGATTTTTTACTTTGCATTCAATCTCCATTTCAAAGAGAAAGTATGAAGAAGAACTGTTTTAACTGTAAGTACATTGACTCAACACATTCTACAACACAGCATAGTTATCCCTTAATATCTGTTGTTGTTGCTGATATGTCGGGCGAGGGGGTTCCTATTGCATTTGCGATTTGCAACAAGGAAGACAGTTCTGTATCAAAAATGGAGAATGAAATGTATGAAGATGGCACTCTAAAAAAGGACAACAGGTTTTGGACACCTCCATAAACATGTCTTCTAGAGAAGACTTCATTTTGAGTTTCTCATGGGTGATCTTTGAAACGACAAAGCATCACAGACAAAGCCATTAATAACTTCATGGAGTGAGTGTCTAAGCTGAAACTTCTGTGTTCTTTTCTAAGAATGTTGGGAAATCATTGAAATGCAAAATGAGAGATTGTGCTGCAAAGGAGAGATGAGGATGGGATCAGGAAGACAGCAGATCACCACGCAATCATCAGGATGCGGGAAATGGGGATAGAGAGGGGAGAAGGAAGAAAGGAGCGATTATCTGGAAAGGATAGACGTCGCCATAATCAGACAGCCAGCTACTGGAACAATCAGTATGGATACCTTGCGGGCTTTGGTGCTGAGAGGAATTGAGCACTGATGGACCTGTTCGGTGTGCAATGACGTTGTTGCCCAGGACAGGTAATACAGGAGAGAAAAAGCAATGAACTACTGGAAGAATTTGTTTAAACCGTATAAAAACGAAATGCTCTTTTGACCTTTATTTAAGAAATGGAGTTGACTTTGTACTTCTTGGCTTTTACAATAATGAATAGAAAGACCTTCCGGCCCTGCAAAAACAGCGGTACCTCTGTGGTGGATTTTCGCAGTGTCATACATAAATTAGTTTAACATTTCAACTGGCTACATGGGGGGAAAAAAGGAACGAACAGTGGACACATGCTGCTTCATCTGAAATGCTTCATTACAGTCAAGTATAGAAAAAAAATCTTCAGCGCCTGTGGAGCTGTAGGACATTTTTTTCATAGGTAAACAGGCCTTTAAAAAAATATATTTTGAGGAAAACAGATTTCTTTGGAAAAAGACCTACCTGTCCTTGGTAATCTTCATCAATCTTTTTTGTAATAAAATTTAAATGCCAAAAATTTTGTGTTTCATACCAAGTGAGTCAAAGGAATACTTTCAGTTGTAAGTTAAAAACAGTTCTTAAACTTTCATTATTGCTCAATTTTCATGATATTTTTATGTGCACGATTTATAAGGTTAAAACAATTAAACATCTAGACTGTTTATTTTTCTGATTGGACCTTTTGCAAGCAATGTTTGTTTTTTTACATCTACCTGTGATGTCATGAAAACATATATTGCAATTTCTGTATATTTCAATGAGAATATCATTGGTGGGTTATTTCCTTATATAAAATTAGTGAAGTGTTAAAATTTCAACTTTTGTGTTTCATGCATTTTCTGTTTCTTTGCCCCAGAAAATGTAAGATGTTCAATTTCAACTTTTTTCATTCTTGAATGCTAAGGTAATGTGTGTATACATTACATTGAGTCTCTCTTCAATGGTTTGGTCCTGGTTTCCTTTCCTTTTTATAATTTAAAAAAAAAGTTCCCACTATTTTTGTTTTTGAACCAATATTCAAAAAGTAAAAAAATGTTTCGCTCATGGAATGTTGACATTTACATTTGTATTATTTATTAAATGTTTGTGAAGTGTGTGTTTAAAGCTGTGACAGTGGGTGGTTGGCGGGTGCTCTGGTGTGGTTTGCTTCTTCTTTCCTATCAAACGTCTATCGTCTTCTTCTCCCCTCCTTTTTTATGTTTGTTACTCTTTTGTAACACCTCTAATCTTCGGCACTTATATGACCTTATTGTGTTGCAAGTGCCGTAAAACTCTTACTAAAACTAAACTAAAAGCTGTGACATTGCCATACTAACACACCAAGAGAAATACCAAATGAGCCTCTGTATTCAGTATGGTGGTGAAACAGTTAGTAGCCATTAGTATTTTACAGGAGGAGGACATATTTTCGATAGAGGTTTAATTCTTTACCCATTTTTTTTTTCTAAATTAAATTATCACAATAAAAAGCAGATTCTATACAGACAAATAGAAAATCATATCAGCTGTCTTTCACTCTTAATTCTAATACATTGTGTTTTGTAGTTCTAATTCCATGACATATTGTGGTTTTATTAACTTCAGAATTTTTGGCCTTTATATTCTAAGAGAGTGATTACTTTTGGCAGCCACTTTTTCACTTTTTGATATAATATGTCTAAAAGCAGAATGGAAAAAGAGAGCATGGTCTTGAGTGAAGGAGGCCAGTAGTGGGGTATGGTGGGGGCCTCACAATTTCTATCAAAGTATCTATCTGGTCTATAAAAAAAAAAAGAAGCCACCCGATAGTTATTAGATTGCCTGCTTATGGACTTAAAGGAAAAGCTATGATGAAAAAAAATATTATTTTATAGATGTTGTTTCACCAGCTATGATGTTTCCAAATTGTTTACAATTCCAGATAGAGCCACTGTGGGAGCTTCTGCATGACATCATTTGCTACTGTGATGGAAAGTCCCCTAATGGGAAGGAGTGCCGTGTCACTTTTAACAAAACAGGTACTGATGAAAAGAAAACTGTCCATGCTTAGACTGTCCATGCTTATTTTTTGGAGAGGAATTGGCAGAGGACGAGGGGGGGGGGGGGGGGGGGGGGGGGGAAGGGGGTGGTGATCTTAAGATCTTAAGGGGTGACTTGTCTAATAGCCTGTTCTTATTAAAACTAGTGTTGGGGAGATTAGCTCAAACTTGTATCATCTTTGCTTCTCCATGTCTTTTGTGCTCTTCTACACTTTTCATTTGCCAAGTATCTGTATCCTTCCTATTGTAAAGCAGCCTGGGAGCCTGTTCGCCTGTAATGTCTGCAGTAATGTCTGGTGTTGTGGATCAGGGAAACCTATGATTTCCAGTGGATGAGTGGTTGGCAGGTGCTCTGGTGTGGTTTACTCCTTCTTTCCTATCAAACATCTATCATCCTTATCTCTCCTCTGAGCTAATCAGAATCTTTGTTGGATTAGGCAGAGCAGCCAATGATCCTTCAGGGCAAGGAATACCTGTGGGTGGTTGATAGATGCTGTGGTATACTTTGCTCCTTCTTTCCTATAAAAAAATCTATCTTCCTTATTGTCTGTTCTCCTTCCTTTCTTTGTATTGCTCTCTAGTAGCACCTCTTATTTTTGGCTTTTAGTGAGGTATTTGTTTTGCAAATGCAGTAAAACTGTTAAAACTTCCATTTTATTCTTTCTTCCCCTTTCCAGTTCAAATAAGTGCTCTCACTTACCAAAAGAGAAATGACTTGTGAATTTGATCAAGCTTCTGGCACAAATAGGCTAGAGACCCAATGTTCATAAGCAAATTTCAGATCTCTTCTTTTAGTAAGGCAGAAAAAAAACTTGGGTATTTTTTTAAAGCAGAGTCTCTGGCCAGTCAAAGTGATAGTGGCACCTTAAGTGGAAATTGCAGTAGGCTGCTTATGATAATGATATTGATTATTGCTTTTGAAAGGTGTTGTGTAATCATTTTCAGCTGCTGCTGTTGAGAGGGTGAAATCACAGCTCCAGAAATGGGGCTACTTGAATCCGGGACTGTCTCAGCTGCCGGTGGACATGTCCTATGGGAGTCGTCAGCTCCTACTGGCGGTAGGCTGGGTCGTTCATTCACAGAAACTGTTTGATCAGGTCATCTCGAAGCGAACCAACCCTTTGTATCAACACTTGTTAACATTTATCGAGACAAGGGTAAATACAGTTCAATATCCCCCCCCCCGGTACTTTATGTATTTTGGGTTATGTTTTGACTTAATTTGATGCTGTTAATTTGTTTTGAAAAGGTTTGTAGTATTTTTTTAAAGAGTAAAAACGCTATTATTTGGGTCCTTGTATTTTATGATACCTTTATGTCAGTCCCTCGTCTCCATTGTAATTTTTAAAAAGTATGTGTGAGTGTATTTGCATGGATATCCTGAAGAGAAAATAAAGATGATAAAGTTATAATTTTTTAAATATCTATTACTATCAACTTTGGGTTGTTTTTTTCTTTTTATCGTATTGTATTATTTTTATGCAGTCAAAAACTCCAGAGCTGGAAAAGTCTCCACCTGAAAGCCACCGTTCGACTGTCTCTAGTAAAGAGGAGCTGCAGAAACAGCTAGTACTGTGTGGGAAACTGCAACTATCTCTTAGGCGTCTTTTTGCTGTTCAGCAGGAGATGGCAAAAATTACTAGATCAGTAAGCATTTTTACAAGTGTCATATCATAGATATAATGGAGATGCATTGTTTAAATTGATGCTGATGATCTCAGTGCATCATTGTATAAATATTTTACACTGTACGTAAATCTTCAGTCCCATTCATGGTCCAATTATGTATTTAAAAAAAATTGAAACTTGAAAGTGCTTTGAGCTCTACTGTCTTGTAAATGTATCAGCAGTATGTGGCATGCTGGTACGACTACAGAGATGCTAAAGCTGTTTATAGAAATCAAATTGTATATGACTTTGAGAAAAGAATTTCAGTATGATGAGAAAAATAAAAGTTGGCAATAATGCCATGTTACATCAGATGCATATCTCATACCATATGGAAGAATTTATCGCAGATTTTGACATTCATAGAGATATGTTTGTATAATGTTAATAGATGAAAAAATCAACAGCAGTACAAATTAATAATCATATGATAGTGATTATAGATATTTGATATAAAAATTATCACAGATAGTAGGAAACTTTTATCTTTCCTTTTTTGTTCTTGGTGGTATGTGATCTAAAATTTGTGTGGAAAGAGGATGTGATGGGTCAAGTAAAATGCAGTTTTTTAATACTGGCTATATGTAATCGTGTTGTCAAATGATTTTTCTCTCTTTCTTTCGTCCAGGTTCATATGTACACTAAAGGTGTTAACCTGCAGCCAGAGCTTGACCATTTGACCACTCTAGAGGTGTACTTATTGAGACATCCAGGGGCTATGAAGCACGTATGTACAAGCTTTTTCATTTGATTATAAAATGTGAGTTGTATTTTTCACATACGAGATAATGTTGGTTATTGAAGATTTTAAAGTAAATTGCAAATTATTCCTGTTAGCCTGATGTCTAATATATTAGTTGAGTTTGACCTTCAGTTTTTCTCTGTGTACCGTAGTGTCTATGGTTACAGTGAAAACAAAGTGGGATACATTCAGCTCTGTTCTCACCATTAGATGGAGTTTAGGATAGTCCCACACTTGAGATGGCATCAGTGGACAGAGAGAGAAAAAAAACCTCCTTTGAAAGCAAATTATAGTTGAACCAGAAATTTGAAAAGTGGGCACTAAAAAAAATAAAAATAAAGCTGATATGTGGGTCGTTGGCGGGTGCTCTGGTGCGGTTTGCTTCTTCTTTCCTATCAAACATCTGTCGTCTTTATCTCCCCTTCTTCTTTTTTGTGTTTGTTACTCTCTTGTAACACCTCTAATCTTATATGACCTTATTGTGTTGCAAGTGCCGTAAAACACTAACTTAAAAAAAAAGCTGATATTCACTGCGTTGTCAATGGGATGGTCCTACAGCTCTATTGATTTGAATGTTCTCCTTTATTCGATCAGATGTTGGAGGAGCTGGAGCAAGATAATGAGCAGCTGAAACATTTGCTGGACTGGAAAGACAAAGAACACATTTTCTGGCAGTGGCTGGTGAGTAGTACATTTCAGCACACTTGTAAAGATAAAAATGCTTACTGTGGAGTCTACTTAAGCCCAAATCTACAGGGCTACTGGTTTTTTTTTTTTTTTTCCAGTTTCGCTGGCTTTTTGGTTTAAAGAGGTTATCATACTCAAATAGACAATGAAAAAAACAGGGATTTTTTTTACCGTTTTACCGCAGTTGTAGGATTAACTGTGTTCAGTTTAAAGGGACTATTTAATATTTCGAGAGCATTTTACTTTTATGTTCGTTTTTGTGTCTTTGACAGCTCAGAAGGGTGATTCATCATTAGAGGGTTTGAGTGAATGGATAGTTTTCTTTGTGTAGTTAGAAAATTCATTCGAATTTGTAGTTTGAAAATATTTTGTTTTCATTTTAGAAATTACTCACAGAAGTAATGTGAGTGAAGCAGAACAGTGGCTTTCTTAAATATATGAATAGCTTAAGGGGATATTTGGGTTTTCAAAGAAATTCTGTCAAATATTTGTCCATGATCAGGGCAGCACTTCCTAGGTTTGCAATGGAATGTCACCCGGTACTGCCCTCTGAGTGAATTATTTATAGTTGTCACAAATAAAGGTTTCCACTGGGATGTTTCTTGCACGTTATGTTGGTTTAGAAGTATACACATATCTCTGATTGCTACTTTGAAATGCGTCCCGGAAAGCATTGTTTTTTGTTGTTTTTTAAAATTGTTTCTTATTAGGAAATGAGCTGTCTAGAATTATTATTTATTTTTTTTACAGAATACTGTGTTTAATACTTTTTTTCTGCACTCCCTTTTCGGAGTAATTGTGCATGATCCAAGTTAAAGGGTTCTTGAAGAACAAGCTCGATTGGCCCCCCCTTTTTTTTGCTCCCCCTACCCTCCACTGTTTCCTTAAACATGGGTCTCAATATTCCGCTATTTAGCGGATTTCCGCTACCGCCTTGTCCTCCGCTAAACTCCACTACTGCGAAAGCGGGTCAATCAGAAAGAGAGTTGCTGGGAGCAGAATGACTGCCAGGCCTCGGGAATTACCCGGGAATTTGAAAAAAAAAATCGCAGAGATGCGGGAAAATACATAAAAGATCTCGAATATTATTTGAAAACCAAATCCGATAACGTCTTTAAGTTCATTTTTGGCGGACGCAATTGTGATGTTAATTCGGCTTTTCCCAGTGTGAGAGTAAGTTTCACGCGAACAGGCGGCTATGGCGGCAAGCGGAATTGTATGTGACTCCGAGGCTCGACCGGAAAATCAAGATCTCAGAAATGTGTCTGTTAAAAGTCTGAATACGCAACATTTGTAACATGCAGGTTCTGCATTACAAACGTGGTGTCGCCATGAAAATAATGTTCGTCATTGTGCTGTCGCTTGTGGGGGGCAAAAAAGAAAAGAAAGTTATACAAGCGTTTTGTCGGGCTCGTCATTGTGACCGGTCAATGAACCTGCATGCGTTCTGAGTGCTGTGAAGTACGGGACTCCGGAATGGGGGGAGATTATTGATTTTTTTTAAAAGACACACTCCGGGGTGGGGGGAGGGCTGGACGCAACACAAGAGGACAAAAAAAAAGAAATGAAATTGGAAGCAAATTCTAATATTTAGAATTTTGATTACTAGATCCACTACAGCTCTCTGCAAAGTAAAGTGCGCGTTTGTGCATGCCTTGTGTATAATCGGGATCGGTCATAACTACTTGTAAGCGTGTTAATGAACTTAGGGCCGGGGCCTAAGTATTCGCGTTTCATTGGATGGGTGACAGTAAATTATGTCTCTATATTTTAGCTTTTTGTTCGAGATTCGCAGATTTTCATTGTCACTGTATCTTGCCCTCCCACAGTTCTTACACCTCTCACACTGAATAGGTTTACTTGAGCTATTCAAGTTATTACATGTACTCTACTTTGAGTTTGAGCATTAATTTTGTCTTTCACGTTTATTATATGAATCATTACACCCAGACTGGTTCATGACAGTCGATATTCTGGTTCTAAGCCTTTTCCCAGGCTCAAAACAAGATTCATTTTTATATAGTTTATATTTAGGCGAATGTGATGAAGGTACAATATAAATAAGTCGCGCAAGACCACAGTGCGCCTCCACTTTCTGTACGTAATCAAGATTGTAAATATTTGGTAAATGACTCTTACTTGAAATTATCTTCCAAACCCTTTAACTGGTATGAAATAACCTTGCTTTGATAAATTGATTGTTTTTATTTCAACATTCTAGGGTCCCACAGTATAATAATAGTGGGTGTCTCGCGAAAATGGGCTTTTGTCGGGATCACTCGGAAAGTTCCTCCTTTTTAAAAATTCTTAGTTGAGACCCATGCTTAAAATGCAAACATTCTGTACAAAGTTCATGTTTATGGTATATTTGTTTCAGGACAGTGTTCTGGACCTCAGCATTCAGGAAGGAGATCCACAGCAAACACTCCTGTCTTTGGAGGAAGAGGAGCTTGTGTATTTGCCCGTGCCGAGTACGATAGGGCGTGATATCGACGCTGCCCGGACGGAACTGAGGGAAGCCATCCTGAAACATGAAGAGGACATAGAGAGGATGGAACAAATAGTCTTTAGAAAGGTTTGAATCTCTCAAGAACATTTTTATCGTACTACAGTAGAGAATGATTATCCCGAACACATTTGACACATTTGTAATTCAGATAAACTATGAAAACCAAAAATAAGGAAGATACAGAAGAAAATCAAGGGAAGTAATTGTGACTTCTATCATCATGTAAAGGATCCAGTATTGATAAAAGGAAATGTTTGTAAATGCTTTCTCTCTTACACTTATATTCTAGTTATGCTTTTACCTTTACTATCTGTGGTGTAGCAGTTAGGCTGGAAAAGTGAGTTTGGTTCCGGTGAGGGAGAGAATTTTTATGGAGTATATATCTATTTTTCTTCTGGGACATAGAATCCCTCTCAGGGTGGGTTGTCCCTGACTGACTGGGTCAAACAAGCTCAGCCCCCAAGTGACCTAAATTGTGGCAATCTACTATTTGAAAAACATATTAGAGATGGGATCAAAACCAGGACCTGTAGCTTATTGCCATTAGACAAGATAATTGTTGTAGCCAATTCAATCCCCTTCCTTTCTTCAACCTTTTAGAGTCAGAAAGTCTCCCAGGTGGAGCGTGAGGTCACAACAATGTTGATGGACAGAGATTTGGTTCAGCTGTCATCTCGCCTCGCCTCTTGTGGTATTGGCCCCACCTTGTCAGCAGGCGCCTCAACTCTGCTGGCGGAGGAATCCCAACAAGAACAGTCCGCAGAAGAGGAAGCCGCTCCTCTGAGTTCCTCCCGATTTAAGTTTCAACTCCAGTCAGAGAGGAGTATTAAAGCTGGCAAGCTGAATATTTTGACTAATGCAGTAAGTCCTTTTTTTCATTCTTTAGCAGTTTGTCACCACATAACTTTTTTTGGTCAAAAGTGCACTTTGTAGTTAAATGCTGTTTGGACAACATAGCTCTAAAGCGAGTTGTTTCCAGTTGAAACTTCATTTTATTGAATTACATTGTTTACTGTTCTGACGCGTGCTTCTCTTCAGTGGGTTTGAGGCTATCTTGTCGTGAATCTTCGAGATATAGGCTAGATTTTGATGGTGATTGTATAACAGTTGAATACTAAAGGTGTGGGTATGATTACTGCATGGTACTGAAATGGAAGATGAATGTCAACTGTTGTGAGGAAAGAGTCAATTTCACCCTAAATTTGCTAGAAAGTTACCATCTGAACCTTTTGCCTTAACTTGGAACAACAAAGTCTGTAATGTCAGAACTGGCATTTATGCTCTTATGGGTAGACTCAAAGCGTGCCATCTTCTATTTAAATGATTACAATTTTGTTGACAGGGCCTTAACGCTGTAAGAAGATCACAGAACATAACTAGTGTTGGTCACGTACAGATTCAGATACTGTCAAACCTACTGTGTGGCCTCCTGTCCTAGACAATCTCCTGTACAAATGGTCACTTCCCAATAATAATCCTCCTGTTCAAAATGTTCAATTGCCTATGACAACCACTTTTCTCCTCAACAATGGATGGCAGTCTCAAACAATTTCGACCATTTGTGAGGAATCATGGTGAAATCAGGCGCTCGTCAAAATAATGAAATTGAAGATACTGGCTTTTTCTGTCTGTTTGGCAGTTTTTGTCTCAACACCTTTAATGTCCATTCAAAAACACATTTCTGTATAGATTTTACTGAAAATCAAATTTTTGCTTTCCATAGACTCTCTAACAAAACTTTGGCAACCATTTCCTTGCTAATTGTATCTCTGAAAGCAAGCGACCCCCTCCTCCTTCAATGGCAAAGAGATAGATGGATTTTTTATTCTTCAAAGGCAAGACAATAGGAATAACCTTTATTATGATACCTATAACTCCACATGCTCCAAAATTGGCGAGCGCCTGATTCCACCGCGTCGTGACACATATTCTAATCTCAAAATGCTCACACTTGTTTAACATTCTTAAATTTCACAGGTGAACAAAAAAACCGAAGCGTTAAGAGAAAGAGTGGAGGACCTGGAAGAAACTCTGAGACAGATGCAGCTACAGAACTTGGAGCAGCTGCAACAGCTGGTCAACCAAAATACTGATGTCATCTGCATACTTCCCAGACATTTCAAAGGGCTTCTCAATACGTGATATTGGTCATTTTGTAGTTGAGAGTAAGTAGTGAATGAAAATGTGGGCCACTTTGCCTATTTATTTATTCATTTTTTCTCAGCATGGATTTGTGCTATTGAGAGAGACTTAATTCTTTACTGTCGTAATTAACTCTTCAACTCTTTTTATCCTGACAGTATCTCCATGGACTCTGTGCCCGTCCTAGGGCAGCCACACTATGCGAATTGTAATTCAGGGTGTATATTTCAAAGTGCTGTATTTCTTAAATTTACTGTTTAGATTTTAACCCTTTCAACCTCAGAGCTATCCCTGCCCAACAAGGCTGACATACTGGCAAAAGGAACATAACTCTGCTTAGACTGCATGATTATTCTTTAACCCTTTCCTGTGTACGTTCAGTGGCAGCCATTTTGTTCTGTAGTTCAACTTCCTCTCCACTGTAGCAACTTGGTTTGTTTACATTTTTTTCACTTCCTGCCAAGTGATTCTCCATTGTCGTACAAAATTGACCACAGAGACTATTTGTGTGGTGGCCTGGGAAAACCAGGCACAATGTAATTTTTTATGTTTTTTAACTGATGGTGCCACTTGACAGCCCTTTCATTTCTCTACATGGCACTGTTTAAATTTTTCAAATATCTCAATTGATAACGGAGTTATGGCATTTTGAAGTAAGGAACCGTGCGATTTGAGAATTTGAGAAAAACGCATTTGAAGTTAAGCCTTTTTTTATCATGAACTATTGTGTTAACTGATGAGATGCATTATATGTAATGTGCAAATGTGTGGGGAGCTGCAAAAACCATTCACATGGGTCCAAATATGAAAATTGAGATTTCTACCTCATATTATTCTACAGCTTCCCCTGAGTATTTCGCTTTTTATTTGAGGGTTTTATCTATTATAGTTTCCGAGATATTGCAGTTTTTATCACGCAAGGCAGGGAAAATCCGAAAAGAGAAAA